TTTTTTTTTTTTTTTTTTTTTTTTGGGCTTTTTTTTTTTTTTTTTTTTTTGGAGAGAGAGAGAGGAAGGGAGAGAAATATCTATTGGCAACTGCCTCCCGTATGCACCCTGACTGGGGCTCGAACCCGCAACCTTTTGATAGATGGGACAACACTCCAACTAACTGAGCCACTGGGCCAGGGCTAGTGGCATTTTCTTGAAATTCAGTTTATTTAGGTTGATTCTTTCTGGCTCAGAGTATTAAGGAAATTATAATATACACGTGTATGCATGTAAGCACACGTTGTATGTGTGTAAACATGCATGTGGTTGTTTATACCATATGTTTTCCAGGGCTTTTGTAGTAACAATGTGTGTGTTTTATGTGTGTGTACATAGAGAGTTAAGGGATCTCTAATGAAATTTTCACTGAAGGCAGCTGATGTCTTAACACTCATCAAATGTTTCCCCGCCCCCAGGATAGAAACCAAATTAGCAGCTACATCAGATCCAGGACAGGAGGTGATTTGATTCTTTAGCACTTTGGACCCGTTTCCATTTAAAACCAATGCAAGCTCGCCCAGGGCTACATGTTAACTTAATGAGGAAAGGCTTTAACACTGTTTATGTAACGGAAGTCACAACTATCTATCTGTCTCCGTTAAGAGGCTTTAGCGTGTTGTTTCCCCCATCGCCATTGGCGGAGACCTGCTGCTGTGGAGCTGTCTACACTGTGAGACCGGATTCCTGGCCCGTCTGTCATTCCTCAGCACATGTCCTATGAGAGTTTTGCTCAGGCCGCGTCCTGTAGTTTGTGTGTTTTCACTTATCTACCCTCCCGAGCCAGACTTGTCCACCTCAGGGTGTGTGTGTAGGGTACAATCACCTCTTCCTGCCAACCTGTGCAGTTACCCCGGGCCAGCCTCTCAGCTTTGTCCTTGGAGGATGGGAATCTCCATGTCCCCACCCCCTGCCTCCAGCCCCCCTGTGAGCCGGGAAGCTCTCCCTCCAAAGCACCGTGCACATCCCGACACGACGCGGGAGAACCTGGTGGTTTCCTGCTACCTGTGGATCTCCTGGGACTCCGCTTGGCTTTCCTGGTCACAGGAAAACTCTCCCAACCAAAGGCTCCTCTACTTGTCTTGGGTGCAGGTGGCCCCAGAGACCTTCCCTTGGCATGGCTCGAAAGCTCCTTATTGGCTAGTTCACGCCCATTGATCAGCAACTAGAAACACTTTTCATGTATCCCTTCATACCCAGGATGAAGCGTTTTGACGTGCAAATCTCTTTTTACAGTTATTTGTTTGAACTTGTATTAGAAGTTTGATGTTTCTCCTTGGAAGTATTTTTCCATCCTAAATTATTCATGAGTCTCTGGGGCGTTTGTGGTCCACAGGGCCCTAATTAGTCTCCCTTTCAAGCCCCACGGGAGCTCGGGAGCTCGACCTTCAGCCGTGGTCTGCTAGCCGCTGGCTGCTGTTGAAGGCTGGGCCTGCGAGTCCCTTTGACAGCTCTGACACCACCCACCCCAGCTTCCTCCTGCCCCCTCAGCACTTTATTTAGCCTCTGCGGCAAGCCGGGCCAGGCCACAGTTCTCCAGCTTTGCAGTGAATTTTCTTCAG